CCTCTATCAAAATCTATTTCCAGAAACTCCTCTGGTGGGACTGGAAGGTTTTACAAAGCTAGAGGTAGCTGCTGCTGTGAAATTTTCAGTGCTAGGCTTAGGTACTTAATTTACAACGCTAGGTGAAGGTTTACCTTTCTTGATGCAATTTCCCTCGTGGTCTCGAACGTAACCTTCTAGGCAGTTCTCACACCAAAACCCAGTGGTGTTATGGAGGCAATTGATGCATTCACCACTCTCGGGCTTGCAAATCTTTGGAGTTTTAGTTCGGTCCACATGGCCGTGACATTGGCACTCTGTACAGATGCTGTCGGAATTGTAATAGCCATTTTCACATGCATTGCAGTTCGGGCCTGTGTAACCCTCTTTACACTGGACACATGTAGGTTCCGACTCACCCGATTCTAAAAGAGAAAACACCAGAATAATTCAGTACAGTCTCAAGCTGCAATTAATAATGCAAAACCACCACTAGTCCTCGGAAAAATGTAGGAACTCTCCCTATTATCTCCTCTCAATCTTAAGAGATATATGGGATCATGTTAATAACCTACACCATATTTACTAATGATCCAGCTTTCTGTAGGCATAGGGCCATCCAGACAACCTGTCCAGGTAGAGGGCCAAAGAAATATGCTTACATCAGGAGTCCGAATAGTTATGCTCGATTGGTACTTATTATTTTTTTGATTCCTTCCTTTTTAGATATGCTAGACTGAATAAAATACAGTTTTAATAAAAGCTTCCCATTGCACCAGCAGATGGCGTAGTGGTTACATTGCTGGACTCCCACGTAGTCGACTGCGGTTCGAGACCTGGACCCGGTGGCTTAAAACTCACACAGGGTATGTGTGCATACGTGTCCAAAATCCCAAGCGGAGGATGAAGGAGAAAGGACTGTGGCATGGCCATCCCCCCTGGGAGGTGGTTTCTTGCTTTCTGTCTCTCTGTTTCTCTGCCTCTCCAGTGAGCTTATGTGCCCTATAGTAAAAACCTCTTAGAAATAAAATAAAAATAATAGCTTCCTCTATTTCTCACCTACTGATAATCCCCAGACTTATATTCTTGCCTCTTTCTCTTCTCACTCTGCTCATTTTCCTTGGGTGGCCACATCTACTAACATGGTCGACATTTTCTGAATGTGTATCTCTAGTCTGTATCTCGGTTCTAAACTCCAAACCATATACTACTTGCCCATATATCAAAACCTACAAACATCTCAGATTTAACATGCAAAACATTGTCTTCAACATCTCCCCTTCCTAAGCTTCCTCCAGTGTTGCCTACATCTCAGTGAGTGAACCGTACCAACACCTGCCCACTGCCTGGGTCAATAAAACTGGGAATTAGGGGCTGCCAGCTGGTGTAGTGACTATGGCCAACTGTGGTTTGAGTCCCAGACCTGCCAGCTTGCTTTCTTACTTTCTCTCTCTCTCTCTCTCTGGTCAAATTTAAAGAATAATAATAACAAATTTAATTAAATGTAAAAACCTGAGAGTTATCCTCCTTCTCCTTATATCTCCTCTAAGCAATTATCAATTCGTATCCATTGCCTGATTAAAATACTTCCAATTCCCAGATGTCTCTCTCCCTTTCTCTGCAGGGTCTTAGTTTAAGTCTTCATCATTTCTTACCTAGATTACTATAGCTACTTCCTAACGGGTTTCTTTATCACAGTACATCCCTATATTCATTTTGAATTTCAAAGTAAACCTGAACATGTGCTTCTCAAGAGAAAGCTCTTCAATAGCTCCCTAACACCTTCGAGGTTAAGGAAAAGAACAGAATTTTCAGCATCCTTCCTAATCCGATCCCTGCCACTTCTTAGTTCTCCCTTTACTTCACACTCCAGCATCCTCTATGGTTCAGGCATGTTAATGGGCTTACGAGCACTCCAAAATCCGACCTGCTTTCCTCTCCTGCTCCTCTGCATGGGACAGCCTCTTGCCTCCCTACCCCTACTTCACCTAGCAAACTCAATCCGTAGGAATTCACTCAGGTATCACCTCTTCTCAGAAACACAAAAGCTTTCCTTGATTCCTGCAATTGGGGGTAGAGTTATCTATATTTACCTGTAACATATGTCACTCTAAATTGTAACTGCCTGATTGTCTCCCTTTAAACAGTGAGTGACTTAAGACATTGCTACTTCTGAATCGCCAATGCTCAGCCTGGTGCCTGACACACGGTACAAGTTAGCTACGTGTCTGCTAACTTGATCATTTACTCCAATAAAAGCAGTGGGGGAACACATCAAGTCATTCTTCATGTGATTTTAATTTTTATTCTTCATATGGTTTTAATTCAGGGTTCTCAGGATTGATAAACAATTTTTAATAATCAACAAATCATAATTTTATGTATCTAACTAGGTTAGATACATAACTTGTTACTTTTTTAGAGTTTATTGTATTTATTAGAGCCAACTAGTGGCATAATAATTGGGGCAGCTGGATTCCGAATGGCTAACTGCATGGTTTGACTCTTGGATTTGGTAGCTCGAAGGACACACTGGTCTTGTGTGCATGCGTGCCCAAAATCTGGAGAGGAAAATGGAAGAGAGGGGACTGCAGCATGGCCATCCCCCCTGGGGTGAGGGTTGCTTTCTCATTTTCTCTTCCTCTCTCTGTCTGTCTCTATCTGGCATGTGTACATGCCCCATAGCAAATTTTAAAAATAAAAAAGATGGACCAGCAGACGGCGTAATGGTTACCTCACTGCACTCTCACATAGTTGACCACAGTTCAAGTCCTAGACCTGGCAGCTTCAAACTCACGCTGGGCACATGTGTGTGAGTGCCCAAAATCCCAAGAGGAGAATGAAAGAGAAGCGACTGCAGCGTGGCCATCCCCCCGAAGGGATTTCTTGCTTTCTGTCTCTCTGTCTCTGGTGAGTGCACACACCCTATAGCAAAAATCTCTCAAAAAAGTAATTTAAAAATTTAAAAAGGAATTTACTAATTATATTAACAGGATCATCTTACTATCTGAACATAGACTAATTTTATTACAGC